CACACACACACACATACTAAAGGTGTGTGTTCATGTGTGTGTGTGCAGGCCACCAGTGAGATAACAGAGCGGTAGAATTTGAATAGCATTATGGCATATGACTGTTTTGCCGAGACAACAGCAGTTAGTTTGGTTCCCATTTCCTCCAGGTAACCAGAAGTCCACTGGCCTCTTTGTTTGTTCATTCAAATCACATGGAAAGCAGTGGTATGTGTGTGTGTGTGTGTGTGTGTGTGTGAAAAAGAGAGAGAGAGAGAGAATGTAGTGGTGTGTCTGAGTACAACGCGGTACCATAAGGAGCTTTGGTTTCGCTTCCGCATCGTTCCTCATGCAAATGACGGCTTTGTTGCTTCTGCAGCCTGCACACTTCCTGTACATACTCAATGTGTTTGTGTGTGTGTGTGTGTGTGTGAGAAAGAGAGAGAGAATATACTCTGCACAGTTTGTTCAGTGTGTACATTTCTGTATTCATATTTATATTTGTGTATGTTTATATGTTTAATGCCTGTGGGGTGTTGTGTGTGTGACTTTGTGCTTGTACATCCTTGTAAGTAGACTGTCGGTTGTATTTTGGGTATATGTGTTATACCAGTATGTCCTCTCATGATTGTGTGTGTTTTATATATGTGGAAAATGTTCTGTCTTGACCAAATTGATGGTTATTACAGTTCATCCCGAGGGGAACATGAATTTTTTAACCAAATTTCATGGCAATGGTTGTCGAGATATTTCACTCAAAACCCACAAATGTGAACCTCGTGGTGGCACCAGAGGAGAAAATCAAAGAACCACCAAAGTCATTCATTCACCTTTCAGTGTGAATGAATGACTTTGAATGAACTGACTGTTCAACGCTGAAGCTACCAGGGCTTAGCAAGCTGGACCAAACTTTACACACAGTATTCTTGGAGACTAGTTTTCATTCATAAATTTGAGCCTTGGAGTGCTTCCGCAGTGACAAACAGAGTTTTCAGGGTGACTTTTTCATGAAGTCAGAGAATCACTTGAGGCTGCGGGATGACGTTGGAGACCCATTAGCTGAAGAACCATTCAAAGAAAGACAGGATGTTAGTGGGAGGAGAGATGGAGTAATGAATGGAGAGAGGACAAGGTCAACAAGGGGAAGGATGGAT